CTCAGGCTCTGGCCAAGCTGCGCCTGAATTCACGCAATTCCTTCCTGTTCGTGCCCCGCCGGGAGGGCGGCCCGGCTCGGCCCCCGGCCCACATCGCCCGGCCACCGCCACCGCCCTCGGAGGAGAAGGCAGCGAAGGAGCCCCCGAGGGCTCCCGCCCCGGAGCAGGAGGAGCCCGCCGCTTCCCCGCCGGCTCCTCTGGACCCGCTGGTACCTGTGACTTACATCGATGACATTGTGGAGCCGGACAGCGGGGAGGTTTCTCCCAGGGCCGGCTCGACTGCGAGGACGGGGAGCTTGGATCAGCCCGGAGGAGCTGGCCCTGACCTGGAGATGGAGTTCTCCTCCGTGCCCCTCTACAGACCCCACTCTGCCCCCCACCAGAGGGGAGGCAGCACCTTCACTGTCGTGCCCAAAAGGAAGCCCGTTGCCTCGGGGCTGCAGACTCTCACTGATGCCAGCGGAAGGTCGCAGCGGGAGGAAGAGGATGAGGATGAGGAGAGCAAAGGAAGAGGCAAAGCCATGGAGAATGCTGATGGGCCCCAGGTGGGGATACCCCATAAAAAGCGCTACCCCTCAGTGAACGAGATCGAAGTGATCGGGGGGTACCTGTCCCTGGAGAGGTCCTGCATGAGCAAGACGGGCTCCCGTCGCAAGAAGGTAATAACTGCCCGGGACACCTCTGTGCTGAACAGCCAGGCTGGACGTGGCTGCTTTTGGCCCGTCTGTCCGTGAGGCACCGGGTGGGAAGATGAGAAGTGTGTTTGGGAAGATAGGCTTGATCCTTTTGGGAGCCAGAGGCTGCTCTCGGGGAGGGGGCACTGGGTGCTGTTCCACAAAGCAGCTGAGGGTGGGATGTTCTCTGTCATAACTGCAGGGCCTCTCCCACCCCGTCCCCTCTTGGAGATATGATAACAGAAAGTGAAATATTTCAGATATTTAGGAAATCAGGGTGAGTTGCAAGGTTTGAACAGCTGTGGGCTTTCCCTCCAGCTCTGCTCGCTGTGTCTGCGGGTGCTGGACATGTTGAGCTGCCCGTGGTCACTTGGGCAGCGTGGCATTGGCGTCCTCCCCGCATTAGTGATCTATTGATAGAGGCTCAAGAATTAGGTCTCGATTAGGCAGAAAGAGATCAGCAAGAACTTAACTCCCCTTGATAGGATTATACCACCTGCGTGGTCTGGATGTGCAGCTACAGCTCTGAAGATCCTCGAGATGTCGATTGCTCCAAGTGCCTTCAGACTGAATGCCAGATTTTCTCACTGCTTGGGATCTAACTTGGATCCTTGTGAGCCCTACATTGAGAATTAATCTTTGTAGGGCTAGATGAAATGCAGCTGGATAAGAGGAGGAGTGGGCGTGTTGCTGGGCTCTGAAAGCAGCACACTGAGGTGACAGATCCTGACTTCTAAGCTGCAACATGACATGTTTTCCCATAGCAGGAAGAGCTGTTTGACATTCCCGTTACCTAAATCCAGCTAGATGGCTGATGGACTGAATCCACACGGGTGCCTGAGGCGCTGAGCATTATGAGTTGAGGAAATCCTTTGAGCAGGATGCATCTCATTTGAAGGGAGACAGGGAGTGCTGCTTCCCTGGCTTAACGCTGGTAAATTCCTTCCTGAGCACACGCAGCCTGTGTTAATTTGATGGTGACTAATGCAGGGAGCAGGTCTGGACCACGAGCACCTTGAGATCCAGAATAAGCAAATGAGGAGTGATGATTCTTGCTCAGTGCTCCCGAAGTTTTATCTTGTTCTCCTACAGGGGAATGCTCAGTCTGACTGGAGTTGTTCTGTTTAAACACCTGCTGGCTTGAACCCATTCCAGCTGTTTTCTTGGCTCTGCTCAGTTCAGTTTGGGGCGTTAAACAGATTTACACCTAATCAGGTGTGTGCTATAAATGGTGAAAATATCAATACAACATGTTACAGTTATGGGTGCTCTTAGGATGGAGCAGAAGGTACAGAGGGAACCTCGTGGGACAGCCACACTTGGGTAAGCCCTGCTCCTGATGCAGCTGGGGAGCTGATTCTCTGAGCAGGGAGTGCTGTAGGGGCACAAAGAACAGAGCCAGACCAATTCAGTGGTGCACAATGGAAGCTGTCCTTAACATTACAAAAGTGAAGGGAGGGAGATGAGGACAACACCGGTGCACTGACTGAGTTGTTTTTAAGTTGGTCAAACACCAGAACAAGAACCCCAGAGAAGTCGTGGCATCTCCAACCTTGGAGCTGTCTGAAACTTGCCTGGGGAAAGCCTTGAGCAACTGGCAGGTCAGACCTGGTTAAGGCAGGAGTTGGGACGAGAGACCTCCAGAGGACCTTTCCTAACCAAAAATATCATGATATTGGTCAAGAGCTGTTCTGTCTGTCAGTGTTGGATTTGTGTGACATTGGGCACGTCATGGAGCTTCTCTGCCCATGTTCTTATCAGCTTAATGGCATTAACTGTCCCACTGTGCACATGAGGTGCTAAATACTGCACACACAGCTCTAAACACCCTTTGAGGGGATGTCCTGCATGAGAACTTGTGTAAACATCTAGGTTTGGAGAGGAGAAATGTGACAGGCAGTTCCTGCTCTGCCTTTTAATATTGCAGAGCTCAGGAGACTGAAACAAATGGGGACCCTTTGGAAACTAAGATCCAGCTTAAGGAGAAGTAGTAGAGACAGAAGTTTCTGGGTGAAATTAAATGTGGTGATGTAGTGGGAGAAACACCCGTTTTTCTTTCAGTTCCCTTCTTGCTTGGAGTGGCAAGTGCAGGGTTTGACTCTGCAGACAGCGTTTAGAAGATGCTGATGCTGGAGCAAATGGAAAGATTTCTGTTTACTCTTGACCTAGAGGATGTTTGTGGCTTTTTCTCTGGGTAATAAGGCTGAGAGTTGATGCCTGAAAAGGAAGGAGCTCGTATTAGGATGCATTCCTTGGTTTCTTCCCAAGAGATCACTGTGTGTCGCCAAGGCAACAGGCCAAAAACAAGGGTTCTATTTTGTAGCTGTGTAGGGGTTTTCAGAAACTAGATTTTGGCCTGAATTGGGCAGAAGCAGAGGGATCCTGTGAGCTGAGAGCTCATACCAAAGTCCCTTTCTCTTTTGGGGTATCAAAATCAAACCTGACGCTGGTTTTAGTGAGCACCTACCTGTGTCTCTTGGGGTGAACGAGCCCACCTTGCCTTGAATTTGCTCAGGGAAGCAGTGTTTAGGGAACCTTTGATGACTTGGAAAATGTCAGCCGTTTGCTGGTGCCCAGCAGGGATCTGGGAGAGATAAAACCCAGGTCTAGCACATGCTGATCCACATGCTGTGGATCAGTGGGTGTCTGTATGGACAGCCAGGGCTGTCCATCCAGGGGGAGGGAGGGAGGCAGCCCTGGAAGTTGGACCCTCCGTTCTGTGAGATGCAAGTGGTGCTTTGCTTGAAATGTGGGAATTCGACCTCTCTTTTCATCCCCATGTCTGGCCACTGAAAGCCTGACTGTAGTAAAGATCCCAGCAAAATGGAGCTGATGAGGTCCATGTCCTCTGGCCCACATCCTCCACATCCTGCCTGGCTTTCTGGAGTGGGAGGGTGGCTGGGAGCAGGTTCCAGCACTGCTCTGGGCTGCACAGAGGGAGCTCCAGCCCCTGCCCTGGGCTGCTGGCAGTCTGCAAGATTTGTGACTTTGCTGTGGCCTGAGGGATTCTGCTGGTGTGCAAGAAATTTCAGGAAAAACAGCTTTATTGCTCCTTCCAGACCTTCAAGTATGTGAAGCAGCTGTTAGTTTTGGAGTTGGAGCTGGGTCTTGGTGAGGGGGAGAGAGATGCTGCTCCTGTGTCAGGATAACCATTTCCCAGCTCTCTTGTGCAACTGGAGCTGCTGTGGTGGGACAGGCAGTGCCCACCCAGGCTCTGAAGGTCAGTGTGGGGCTGTGTGTGATGGGACACAGCAGGATCTGCAGCTGGATGGCTGTGCCCATCCTGGGGATCAGGCTGCCTGTGTGGGCAGGGAGCTTTTTGTCCTCCCGTGGGGTTCAGGTGCCCTTGAGGACTCTTCATCTGCTCTTGTGGCTGTTTTGAGGCCTCTCCAAGATGTGCCAACATTAGTTCAGATAAAGCAGTGAGAGTGTGACTCAGTTTGAGGACTCAGTGACCGTTTCCAGCTCCGAACGGATGTGCTGGGCAGCTGCTGGAGGAGCCTGGCTGAGCTGTCAGCTCCGGTGGGGAGGACAGGATACGAGCACAGGGGTGGAAGGAGACCTACTGACCTTTATTCTAAACCAGGAGTGGGGCAGAGGATGCAGAGCACTGCTGTGACCTCTGCTCAGGGCTCCTCTTTGTTATGGCAGAGAACTAAAAGCGTTTCGGCTCCGTAGCCCTGGGAGGGAGGGAAGGCTTTGCTGCGGGATGTGGATCTCTGGGATCTCAGAGGATAAAATCTACCTCAGCTGAGCTGAAAAGAGTCAATGGTGGTTTGGTCACCTGCCAGAACAACGTACAATAACACTGTCAGTGAGATAGAAATCTGGGTTTCTGCAGAGCATGTGACTGGCATGTTGGAGCGAGAGCTTGGGGAGGACGGCAAACTGCGGAGCCAGCCGGGCTCCTGAGGAGCAGCCACTGCCTTCAGGCTTCATGCTCTCATCTCCTTGGAGGCTGGACTCTGCTGGGGAGGTCCTGTGACTGCAGCACTTGCCCTGACTGTGCTCCTTCCACGTGTCTTGTCACTCCTGTGGTTCACCCCGAGTCACAGCATGTTTGTCCTCTCCAGAGAAAGTCACTTCTGGCCAGGCCACCCAAAGTCCTGTGAGTAACAGGACCTGAGAGCCAACACTCAGCAGGTTGTTGGTGATTTTAATGTGTTTTTCCTGTCACAGCTGGTGGTTTGCCATGTGCTGGCAGGCCCTGTGTGAGCAGGGATTACGGGAACAAGGCTGGTGGGATCCAAACAGTTGGGAGTCTAATGCTAAATTGTCTTCAAAGATGTTCAGCTGAACTTCAAAACGTTATGTGGACTTCAGCAAGGTCCATTTCCTAATGGTCTGAGCTGTGTAATGCCTGAATGTGGCTTCCAAATTCCCACTTAAATGTCTGTTAAAAATCATTCTTAATATCCCTCAGTTTTCATCATGGGCAGGATTGGGCAGCACCTTGTTGGTCTAACCAGCTGAACTTTTTGCTCTGCAGTTCTCCATCATCTCAGCTCTGTTGGAGATGGTCTCCTGTGAGAACCAGGTGTGGGCTCAGGATGCTGGCAGGGATGAACACTTCCAGCTATTGCCCAGGCCTGTTTGGAGCAAGTTTGCACAGTGGGGAGTCTAAACATCAGTGGCTGCCTGAAGTATTTTTTTGCAATATATAACACAATTAAACTAACCATAACCCAAGTAAATTAATGTGGTGGTGGAAGCAAAAATGTCTCTGCAAAAATTCCTTAAATTAATTATGTCATGTCTGTTTTGGAGGGATCAGGGCAGAGATTTGTGTTCTTTAGGTCTCAGAGAGCTGCATTCTTGTTCTGTTTTCTGTCTCTGGCTGTGCTCTGCTGGGGCAGATCCATCTGCCACTTTTAAGGAGGGGCTGTGGCAGTATCTGACATGAATGTATTGCATTTTTGGTAGATGAGGTCAGCAGTGATAAGTCATGCTCAGGAAATAAGGTCTTGGATGAGGAGGCACAGTCC